ATTTTAGATTATCAATTTCCGAGGAGTTTAGAATTTTTTGGGCTCTCTTCAGTTAAAGAACTAGAAGGCATTCATGGAATGTCTCTTTGACCCCTTTTTAAGCTTTTAATACCTTCAATGGCCAATATGAGCAACTTTCATTGATCATTTTCTATAACGTTTTATCGGTGATACTAGCAAAACTTTTAACGACAAAAATGTATTTTGCATTTTACAAACAGAAAATGCGTTTGGAAAAGTATTTTAAATAAAATACAAAATGCTTTTCTCAAAAAAGTATTTAGGTGCAAGTAAAAAATAGGCATTTTTTATTTTGTTTTTGCATTTTAAACCTGAAAAACTAGATTTATCGAAATACGCAAAGGAATACAAGGAAATACACTCGCACACACCAAAAGTTGCCTTTCTAGAAATTATTTATTAATTTCTACAAATGGATTGAGCGAATTAGAAGGTTTTATAATGCTGAATAGAGATCATCGTTATCTGTGGATTAATGAATTCCTAAACTAGTGATTTTTATCATTTTATTGTAGCTTTAACATACGATAAAATCAATGTATCTACACAGATTGTGTAAAGGGATGCAAAAATCCAGCGTGCCTACATTAAAAAAGTAGATATACCATAACCCGCCACTGTTTCTATAGGTAGATACATTATGGCTTATTAAATTTGCTTTTTTTAACATCTTCACATTTTATTATCACAAGCTCGATATGATTAACGAGTTACAAGTGTAATGGACTGGGGTTGTAGCCTCACGTTGGTTACATACGTACATACATACATACATACATATATATATTTATGTCGAATCGCATATGGCTGTGATTTATTTTTGGTTCCACCCCAGTATTTACGTCTACCACAAAAGCGTTACGGGACCGAATGTTTAAGCAAATTTGGCTCGGTCATGGCGAGCTTTTTAAAAGGCGTTTAATTTCGTTTGACATAGTAACAGGACAAAAAAGCTTTTGTAACAACGCACGAACGAAAAGCCGTGCTTGGGCTATGATCGGAAAGACCTTAAAAATAAAAAGCGACGTTGCATACAACGTCGGCTCATCTTCAAACCCCCCCATTTCGCTTTTGTGTTCGGATTTTTCGCCGGCAAAAGCGTTACTTGTATGTAAATATTGATAAATGTTTAGGCAACGGCATAAAAGCTTCGGCAAACCGAAACTAATTTTTGTTAACGACGACTACAATGTTGCAATAGGAAACCCCACCCTTTATTACGTTCCCAAAATGGCGTTTTAATGCGAAAAAGATTTATTGATGTACAAGATACATTACGACAACAAAGCGACAACAAATTGGTTTTTATTGACGACGATTATTTTAAGAAATGATGAACCGTTCCGGCAGTCTCTGAACCGTTTCACCGAAGCATTTTTTACAGACCCCACAACATTATAATAGTAAACTTTTAAGTTATCCCAAAAAGTTGGTACAACGTACAGCTTCAAAAAGGCACCTACCATATCAGAAACACTGGATGCATTATCATTTAATTGAAGACAAAAATACCCAAAGTGAGAACTTACACCAGATGGTTGATATGGTATCAAAAGGATTTAGCAGCTTTTGATAAGACAATGAAACTTTAAGGAAATGTTCATTGAATCATATCCTGATCAAGTAGTCAGAGGTCTTATTGTTAGGCATAAAACTCTTATCAATTTACTTCATTATCGCGATGGGGTTCCACCAAAAAAAGGGATAAGTCAGAAAGGTTTCCGTAAAACAGAAAAATTGGAAACTTTAAGTTTGAACGGCGTTAGTGAGACCCTTGATCAGGAACATTTTCCCAAAACTTCATTACACTCAACTGAAATCAATTTTCCGATTTATAGGAAAGAAGGTAGGAAAATGGGTATCAGTTGTTTGTAATGTCATGTTATTTGAGAACTCGATATTTTTGGAACTTGTATCTGTTGAGACTTTTGATCAGGATTATTCAAAGGACATTTTCTTAAAGTTTAATTAAAATCGATCGAAACCTATTTTCCTATCAAATACCGGAGGTTCTTTAAATAACAACCACCAATTTAGATTTCTTCAGATGATACCTATTAGATACGTTAATTTCTCTTTTCGTTTACGCAAAAGTATATCTCAACTGTATCGGTACGTTTTCGGACTCGGCCACAAAAAAGGACTGGCGATGATTGATGTTCTCTCTAAAACAACAATTATAAATGTATTCTTTTATTTCATAACGAACTGTACGCAAACAAATCATTCTTGCTGAAAAGCCGTAACAAAGGGAATAAATTAACTCCCCGTCGCGTACAAATAATTATAATCTCATATTAGTTACGCCTTTATGACTAAAAAACAAGGACAGCGATCTAGAGACAAAACGTGCAATACATATCGCGTAAAAGTTTATGTGGGCAACCCAACTTGAAATTTTCTAATTGTAACAACAACCAAACTCAAGGTTCTAAATCATTTGTATCCCATCGGCGATTTGTTCATATGAGCCGCAAGGCTGGATATCGCACATAAGATATTGCAAACAATGTACTAATGAAAGCTATACTCATCATCATCATAAAGTCGTCAGTTTTAAGACTGGTTGGACACGCACCTTCACTCTTTCCTATCCTGAGCTAATCTTCGCATTTCCCTAAACCTAGAACAACCCACATCCTTAACTATTTGCGAACAGCAATCTATTCTGGGTCTATCTCTACCCATCCTAACTCCCGTTTCTGCCTCTATTATGTCTCTGGCTAGACCTTGATGCCTGAGAAGGTATAGAGTCCTCTGTTATCCTATTCTTTCTAATACATCTTCATTTCTAATCTTCTCTATCCACGGTATCTTCATCATTCGCCTGTAACACCACATTTTGAACGCTTCTAACCTTTTCTTTTCAGTCGCGTCCACGGTCCATGTTTCGCACCCATACAGCGCCGTGCTACAAACATACACCTTTAACAACCTTTTTCGAATTTTTACTATTTCCCTACTACTCCTTCCGTCCTGACTTATCTGACTTCCTGGATACCTAAAATCGGCCACTTCTTCTAATTTTTCGTTTCCTATCTTTATATTCGCTCTTTCTCTACTCTTTCTTCGCTTGCATACCAGTATTTTAGTTTTACTTTTATTTATTTTCATACAGTACTGTCAGTACCACATCCATTTTATTTAAAGCTCTCTAATCTATATCATCTGCAAAACTATACTATCATTTAGAAAAAGAGCAGTCTAAATTTTTCGTAGGACTTGCGGTTACCCATACAGTAGTAGTGCCTAGATTTTACTGACTGAACCTGCACCTCAGGAAGGCGCTGAGTTACACCCCCGACCCCTACGAAAACAAAATTAATCCGTTTTTAATCCACCCTGTGCCGAAAAACATAAAATTTTTAATACGTAACACGAAGCGAGTAAATAATTTACGGATTTCCTTTTTTCCACTGTATAGGTATGTCATCGGTAAGAGGTTGTTTTCATTAAAACGCATCTTTGCTGTCATATTTTAATTAACTTTGTAATACAAGCAGCTGCTTGCATTTAACGGTGACGTTATTTACCGACTGGGCACACTTATTCATATTAACAGTGGTATAAAAATAAATTGAGCTGTTCGATAAGAGTAAGATCATCTAAATAGATTTATGATTCGCATAATAATGAACGTATTTCAAAGTCATTGGCGTTTAAATTAACGCTAAGCGCATTTGTAATCTATACATCAATATTTTAAACCTAAATATACATAATAGTTGAGCATGAAACAATAAATTTTATTACATACCTTTTGTTTTTAATATACAATTACTTCTGAAATTAAAAATCTAGGCAGTATGTTGACATTTATTATATTTAAAATTGATTCCATGGGACAGACAATAATCTCACTATCCATCATGGTGGCATTTAGCAATATTTTATTAATTATTTTAATTACGCACCACAGAAAAAAATAATAAACAAAAGTATTTGTCATAAAAATTATTATAAGTACATCACCTCAAAAAATAAATATAACTACCTATCAAAAAATAATTATCTATCAATTAAGATCAAATATCACTTAATCAAGGGATTCTGAATGAATCAGAAATTTCTGTATATACATATGTGTAAAACAGGTGTTAAAAACCGAAGAGGATGAAGTTTATATTTGATTTCAACACAAATGAAATAGATAACTACCTAAAGGTGTAGATAGCTAATAGACCCTTTAATACTCTTATAGAGATATCAATTTAAAAAAATCATAAAACTACACATTTGAGTTAAACAGTGATTGGCGTAAATTTATTGCACTGTAACAATATTCTTTTAATTTGTTTACCTGTCTTGTTAGGTATATCAAATAAAATACAATTTTGGATTTAAACGTAAATATCTTAAAAATTCCAAACATGAAAGAAAAATGTCCCTATTTTTCCAAATCATCCCTGTATAATTAATAGTAATATATTTTAAGTACACCGCTGACTATATCCCGAAACTATATCCATAAAATGATCTTTAGGTAGTACTAGTTATCCCGAATTTTCACATACTGAAAATGAAACTGTCTAAAAAATAATTGTTTTATCTGGTGCTGAAATTGAAAAAGTTTTTTTTTTTGAAAGATGTGCCACATTCAAAATATATTTTCTATTACTTTTGAAAAAAGTTTTATCACAGAAACTACAAATTTTCTAGAGAGATCCAATCCCTTAATCACCGCCCCCAGCTTCCCGTCTATACTTATATTGTACGATCTCCAAACTGTTGCTAATGCGATATTTAAATATTAAGTAGGTATTTAAATTGTTTTATTGATTAAACGAAACACAATTTAAATGTGATGCTTTCCTACATTAATTACACGTTTACACAGCAATTATAATACAAAATTATACGGTATAAACAATATGGAAAAAGGTATTACAAAGTGCTACTGATTCAAGTAAAAAATCGACTAGTACTTTCGAAGTTACATTTATTTAATGTAAATGTATATATATATGATGCGAGTAGGTACATGATAAACTTATTATTAAGTAACTTTTTTACATAGATTTACATCCTTAATTATTAATTAACTACACAGGCTACTGTCTAATCATGTACATTCTTTTAACAATAAAGGAATTTTCCATCTGTACAACAAAGATTGATAAAAATGTAAAATAAATGTAAGAGATTAGACCAATTGCATTTATTTCCTAATCAAATTTTTCTCTAAAAAGGACCATACGCAAATGACTATCCTTCATTTGAATAAAAGGTAATGTATATGATAGGGATGACCTTCGTCAGAAATGGCAGTACCTACAGCCGTTGTGTATACGTTAATCTTTTCAAACAAAAACATTTCTTTTTTTAAGTTGCGTGCCCTGTCCGAAAAAGAGAGTGAAACAATTTATCTTTTGTAATTTCATAAGCCCAAATTTTATTCAAAACGATTTCGTGTTAAGAGTTAATTGAAGGGCCCGAAAACGGTCATCAATACGTACTTCTCTTTTAAATCTTTCTATCGCGTGCCGAAATGCGGAAATAATAAAAAATAATTAATAAATAGGCTTACAGTATATCTACTACCGCTTTTTATATTAAGTATATAATATTTATGTACTTTGTAAATATCACAATCACTTTATAATATGCGCTCTACGCAACACCTAAAATAGCTTTTTCATATTGCGAAATCACATGATATAGTACCTATAGTTAATGCACTACAATTTTCTCCTTTCTTTTCAATTAAAAGTACCGAAAATGTACTTAAATATACATAAATATAATGCCGTCGTATCATGCAGTCTCATTTCTAAAGCTCAATGAATATTAACAATTAAACTGTTTTCTGAAAGCTCCTAATACATACATTGGCAACTGGCACTAATATAAAACATTAACTGTTGGATATTTGCCCTCTGGCACGAAAAAACACTTTAGGTAATTTTTTTTTCGTAAACACATCTTTGTTAAGAGTATCTTTTTGTGTTGACACTCTGTTTCACCTTAAGTTACAATAACGATATAGACAATTTGTCCATCACTCATCAGATTATCTGCAATTTGACCATCCCTCACGGACAAATCTCCCCAATTGGCTTAAATTACCTTCTGGAGTATATCCAGATCAATAAATAAGATTATTCTTCATAGATTAGCACACAATAGCTCGCCAATTGTTCCGACGGATGAATAAACTAACTACCTGATATCCTTGAGATATTAAATTTTTTCAAAATATGAGGTCAAAACAAAATTAAAAATCAGTCAGCAAGCAAAAATAATATCAATTGAAGAGACGGATGCATGGTCCTATCACAAGTTCTGTTTTGAAGAAAGGATAAGTGTTTCGTCCACTTTGATTTTTTGACAATATCAATCTTGCGTTGATGGTAATCGAGGTGAGCCAAACACGTGTTCGTTCTTCAAAAAAAGTGTTTGTGGTAATTAGTGGTAAGCCTCTTTTATAGTTAGTGAGCCAGAAGACACTGCAGTAGTCTCTTCTAGTTGATTACCAAACTTTACTGCTTCTTAAGTGTTATAGATAAATATGAAACATGGCAATCATTTCAGACCTGTTTTCTTTTTGGAAATATTTCTTTTGGGCGTTTCGCTGCTTGTGAGGCAGGCACCTACTAAAAATCGGGAACAACTTATCGTTATCGGCACTTTAGATGAAACAAAATGTACTTAAATACTTATCTACCCGTTTTTGGTTGCCGTTTCTTTGATTTTTAATATCTCCGTGTAGAACCATCGCATAGTTAAGTTAATGGGTAAAACTTACCTAACAAGTATTATTATAATGACAAATATTTTGATGTGGAGAAGAATTCAACAGTTCGATATTCTATAAACGAAACGATTCGTGCAGTTCTGAAGCCCTAATTCTTATATACAGTTAATATCAGACTTAATAAGACATCCGTATCATCATCATCAAACAGTTGGAAGAGCAAGCTGAGGACCAGCAATGAGATCAGGATACTGATGGTGATAATACGTCGTTGATGGTACTAATAAAGGCGGTTTTAAACTGAAATCGGGATACGGAAGAACGTTCCACTGCATCTGGGGAGCTATTGGAGTTGAGATGGGACAGTGGTGAGCGCTTCTTACTTCCTGAGTTGGATGATCTGGTGAAATGAGACTTTCAATCGTAAATGGCCTTTTGGGACGAACTTTATTCGTTGTTTCGGTGATATTTACAGGTGGAGATAATGTTCTTGGCATAGGAATTCTTGGAACAATTGCACTATTTAGTTCTTGAGGAGATTGGCTCTCGGATGTGAACAGGAACCTATTTATATTAGCCAAAGCGGCCAATTCGTTATCCAACATTTCTTTATCGCTCTTCATCAGTTTGAATCTTTTTCTTCTGCGTAATAAACTCCCGTTTTCAAACATGTCGAATGCCGCAGGATGTAACGCCCAATAGGCTCCTTTACCTGGTCTATCCGGTCTCCTGGGGATCTTGATGAAGCAATCGTTGAAGGATAGATTATGGCGCAAGGAATTCTGCCACCGCTGAGTGTTTCTTCGATAATAGGGGAAGTTCTCTGTGATAAACCGGTATATTTCCGAAAGGGGTAACATCTTCTCTGGAGAACTCCAAATTGCCATGGCAGTCAACGAAATGTATGAGTAAGGGGGTTTTTGATCACCGTATGTTTCTCTTGACGGACGAGGCATTATTCGAACTTTAGTAACAGTACACCATTAACACATTTGCACTATCAACAGTCACTCTGGTGTGTTGGCATCTTAAACGGAACTATCCGATCGGAAAATGGTACCGCCAACAACCGGCAATTCCGGTAAGAGACTGATAACTCCCGGATAAACATGAAAACATATCTTGTTTCCAGCGATCTGATTGGCTGAGTGTATACAATGGCTTGTCGTTCCTCCCCTCAATTAAGTCCCTCCCAATGACCGCCCCTCTATAACCCCCACCAACTTTACCAACGATACCATATTCAAACGATACCTTAAAATACATGAACATCATTGCAAATTCCTGTGAGATGTACTATACCTACATAAAATGTGATTTCTATATCTATTGTCTGGGTCACAAAAGAATAGCGTTCGCAATTGACCATTGCTTACAAAGGCCAAACGACAATCCTCCTAAACAAATATTACCACAACACCAATTGAGTCAACTTATCAGAGCAACATTATATCGATAGGAGATGAAGCTGAAGATGAAATGGTTCAGTGTATCTTGATCTCTAGCTGGCCGTATATAGAATTAATGACAAGCTTTGGGGATACAAAGCTCTAATTGGACCGCCCGCATTACTTTAAATAATATCACATATTTGTAAGTTTTGTTCAACTTTCTTCTTTCAATTGGGATCATTTCAACCCAACTTTTACGATAGAGTAAGTAATAGGTACATTCCTCCAGAAATAAAGAAGCATTTGATCTTCAATACAATCAAATTTAATAATTATTATATATGTGATATTACATCCCACCTCTGCCGATTCCTATGGAATCGTCGTCGTTAGCAATGGATTAAATGGAGATTAAGCTTTTGGAAAAGTCACACCACACCACTGGTTTAGGGATGTTTTTAAAATTTTATTTATTATCGTTGTGATCATTATTTATACCTGTACCTCATTATTAAATGAAACTAAACGTACCTATGAAGATCGCAGAAAATTACCTCCATTGGCTATTAATTACAAAAAAAAAATATTGTAAAAAGTTCAGAACAATTATTTTGTCAGATAGTGGCTTCTTCAGGTGGAAGATTATCAATCATCATTCATATTATTTTATTTATATTTATACTGTTCTTATTATTTTGGTTTACCTGCCTATTACATGTTCTGGCAAATACCGATCATAGAAATTATACGTTTATTTATTAGCATTTTTCCTTTTTATGTGGCGCGGGTAAGAATGTCTTATTTGGTGAACGTAAATATATTTTTTCAGACATCATGTCTATCTGGAAATGTCCTCAACTTCTCTAAGAACTATAGATTTTGTACTTACTTAGGTGGATTATTTATCACAAAGACATATGGACGAATGTAATTTAAATTTAAACTATTACAGATTTGTTACAGGACACCCTGTATATAAATAAAACAGCATACTTCATGCTACTTTATTATTTATTTGATTTAAGAGAGCCCTAGACTCTGTATATACCACAAAAATCATACCTAAATCCGCCTATGACTTTTTATCACCAAGTCAAAACCAAATTTAAAATGGAAATTATAATATTCAAATTAAATATTCCTAATTGATGGCATAGCTATAAATTCACAACGTCTTTCATTTTGAACCCCCTTATAGGTAATTAACAATGTAATAATAAGGTAATTGCTAAAAATTCTCACTACAATTCGATGAATAAAGGATAACAAAGCAAAAGTAAAATAAAAGGGTACCTTTTATGATATAATTGATTTGACGAAGATTAATTGCCTAATGCCACATGTTTTACATCATTCTAACCCTACATAGTAGTCGTAATCATTTCACAATAGTTTTATAATAATCATATTTCGCAAAAAATAGTTTATTAGGAATAGCCATACAAATAATTTCATGAATTAAATTAACCAGTAATTCATGTCATTCCTTTCAAAAGCAAGTCCTATACTTATATATCTATCACTCCCCATTCCTTTATCTTAGTCAATGATAATGATAAGTTATCGAGTATTTAAATACTTACATAGGAATCCTGTTGATTTGGTGTAGGACCTGTAGTACCATTTTGTTTGTCACTCACGCTACTAACGTTTCCTCACGAAAAATGTATATTTGTAATTATAAAAAATATCATCGATAACCTAATTCCGTAATTTTCCTAACCACGCAAATTACCGCTGTAAACTCTAAAAGCATTAGTAATCTTGAATAATACTAACAAACACTTTTTGTCTAAAAAAAATTAAAACATAAATTGAATACTCCTGCCATCTATCATTGAAGAGCTACGATGAAAACTATTAAACTCTATGAACTTCCAAAACTACACTTCATTTTTAAAGCACTCTACTACTACCCTTTCAATGTTTTAATTTACTTTTTAATTAATCCTAGTTTTTTTATTTCTTATTACTGAGACCTTTTGTGTGCTTTCTACGCATCCAAATTATTAAAAATTCATTAGCTTTTTCATTATAGATGACACTGTTCTATAGTCAAATTAATTTTTAAATTTTAATTAATAAAAGTAGGCAATGTATTCTCGTTTGTTTAATTTCTCCATTTTTAATAGTTTGTATTTTCGAAGCGATTTAATAATAAAGTGTTATTTAAAAGAAAATTAAATAAAAATTTAATTCATAATCACCAGAAAAAAAAAATACATCAATAGTGGTAAATAATACAATGGAGCCTGATCAACGAATCAGTAAGAATACTATTTTATAAAATTGTGCATATAATGTGAGAATACATGTCTTGCAGTTTGTGAAAAAGCTTTTTTAATTCTGTTTTCCTTTTTTTTCTCTTGTTGGTTAATGAGACACTACAAAAATTAAAAATTGTGTCACACCTCCTCCCATTTTTAGTTTCTAACCTCAAATATTGCCAATGGTTTGAAATATTTACTATTCAGTAATTTATAAGTTATTTTTTTCGTTTAATGCTTAAAACATTCATTAATAATGTACAGCTATCATAGAAAAAGAAAAAGTTGGTTGACTTGTGACTGAACAATAACATTTTCATTAATGTTTTTTATTTTAGGGACAAAAATTACACCACTAATTATCTTAGCGTTTGCAGTGCACATATTATTGCTTTTGAGTGTGTTGGATATTTATTTCACTTCTCCACTTGAGCATGGCATGATTCATCACAGAGCAAATATAAGCAATCCACCTGCAAGAAGATTAGTTCTACTTCTTGCTGATGGTTTACGAGCTTCTGCACTATTCAATAAGGACATGCCAACTGCTACACCTTTTCTGTAGTAAGTAGCTTATTTGACATTGAAATTCCTAATAATTTGTTCTAGGGATGTGTGTTTTCTATACTATCCTTATACATAGCATAGCTTTCACTTTTTGGACTTATTTCAGCTCAATTAAAGAAAATGAAGGAGCTTGGGGTATAGCTCATACCCAAGTTCCAACTGAATCAAGACCAGGGCATATTGCTATATTTGCTGGGTTTTATGAAGATCCTAGTGCAATTTTCAAAGGTTGGAGAGATAATCCTGTTGATTTTGATACAGTAATAAATCAAAGTACCAAATCGGTCTGTTTTGGAAGCCCTGACATAGTTAATATGTTCAATAAATGTAAAATGAAATTATTATTGAACAATTCCTTAGGTTTTACCAAATTTTTATTATATAGATAATTATTCACACATTACTTCATATTATTATGATCCATTGATGGAAGACTTTTCTGGAAAATGGAAGTCAGTGGTTTTGGACCAATGGGTTATGGAACACTCAAAAAAATATATCCAATCAGGAAGACTTTCTGGTTCACAAGATGGAGTGATTGTATTTCTTCACTTGTTAGGAATAGATACTGCAGGCCATAGCTTCAAACCAGTTTCAATGTAAGTTAGAAGTATAAAAAATTATCATTGTATTGTTATATTTCTTTTTCTAAAGGGAATATAAACTGAACATCGAAGAATTAGATAAAGAAATTAATCTATTTGTAAAATTCTTTACAAACTACTTCCATGACAATGACACTGCCTTTATATTTACATCAGACCATGGAATGACTGACTGGGGTTCCCATGGTGCTGGTTCAAAGGATGAGACTGAAGTTCCATTTATTGCTTGGGGATCAGGGATTCCTAAAACAGCTGAACGTCACGATTTAAATTTAACTGACATAGCACCTTTGATATCAGCTTTATTGGGGATTAATTTTCCTACTAATTCATTGGTATTTCATGTATATTTATTTATATATTAATCGTCCCTTCAGTTTGTCTATCTTTTTTCAAATTTACTTATACTTTTATAATTTCAAAGGGGATTACTCCACTGCATTTTTTGAATGCTCCTATAAAAGATACTGCTCAAATAGTATATGCTAACGCCTTGCAACTGTATGAATTATTTATGGCTAAAGAGAAAAAAATAAAAAAGAATCCAATTGTTGTTTTCAAACCTTTCTATAAACTGCCTAAAGAAAAGTTAATTGGCTGGAAATCTTACATGGAAGATCTCTTTCAAATGGAAAATTACCAGGAAGTTGTAAGAAAGTATTTTTTTGTTTATTTTCCTTTTAAACTAAATATCTTTTAATTACAGATAAAGTTTACAGAGAATGTTATTAATAATCTTGTGGAGGGCATCAAATATTATAACAGTTATTTCCAAATATACCTATCCTTATTGTCCACATTAGCATTTATTGGATGGCTTCTATATTTAATATCTTGGCTGCCGATTTTCTCCAATGTTTATAGTAGCATTGGCACTGGCGATTGGAATTATCATAATATTAAAGAGAAACCTCTTTCTGTTGTATTTCTTTTTCTTAACGTCATCGGCTTCGTAATTTCCCGAGGTTAATATCAATTTATTACAATAACCACAAGGTTCTATAGTATTGTTTTTAATTTCTTTTAGCTATGGGTTTCATATATTATTACACATTGTATGTTTTGTTTCCTATGGCAAGCTGGTATTTAGTTTACCTTAGATCTAATTATATGAGACTTCTCTATAACTGGTTAATGCAATTCAAAGTGCGCACATTACTATCATTTGCTATTACTTACGGAATAGGTACAGAAATGTTGGTAAGTTGTTTCCTTTTTAATAAAACAAAAAGTAGATGCGGTATATAGGTATGGCACATCTTCGCTGACCTTANTTGTTCACATAAGTGAATTTCCACCACTCGAAGCAATGGTGCTAACAGTTTCGAGCTCACAACTAGTAAGGCTAATTCAAATTATTATTGACATTGATAGCTTTAATTCAAAATAAACAGCAGCCATATCAGCTGTTCAACAAAACAAAACAAATGTTATAAGTCAGTTATAAATCATCAAACAACATGAAATTATAAGATTTATTAAATTGGATCTGTTCTAATAGTGTTTTGCAGTGGATCAGGGATATTTATTTTCTATAGAACATGGATTCTGATAATGATTTCCGAAATCAATTAAAAATAAGATTTAATGAAGAGTTTTCTAAACTTGTTGCTTCAAAAGGTGTTAACTCTGGTTTTATGAACAGCGAACAGTATAAAGATACAATTGAATGTGTTAAAGAAGCTAAAGTAACGACATCAAAAACTCCTAAACAGTATCGCCGAATTAAACGTTTCGATATTTTTTCTGTGGGTAAAGTTGAAAGACTAATTACTCCTGTCTCATCAAACCATGAAGACTTTAGGTACTATGCTACGAATGAAGAAATGTTCGATATCATACATGAAACGCACCTGTCCATTGGGCATGGTGGTCGTCAAAGAATGGTTCAAAAAATTAATAAGGTATACAAGAATATAACACAGGAAATAATCTCGATTTATCTTAGTTTGTGTATACCATGTAAAATGAAGTTAAAAAATGCAAGAAAAAGTGTTGTGATAAAACCAGTGACACATTCTGAAGTAAATAATCAAATCTACAGCAGGTGTCAGGTAGAATTTATAGACATGCAGTGTTATCCTGATGAACCGTATAAATTTATTTTAGTTTATCAAGATTATTTAACTAGATTTGTACAGCTTAGACCACTACAATCTAAATCAGTGAATGAAACTGCTAAAGAAATGTTAGACATATTTTGTATATTTGGAATTCCAATGATATTAGATATGAATGAAGGTGAATTTTGCAGCCACTTAATAGAGGAGCTAACAGCTATGTGGCCTGGACTTAAAATTATTAGAGCAAAACCTCGTGATAGTCAACTACAGGAAAATGTTGAAAGGTGCAATAATGATATAGAGAAAATTCTTACAACTTGGATGCAAGAAAACAATTCAAAGAATTGGTCAGAAGGTTTGAAATTTGTACAAGTAATGAAAAATCGCGTATATCATCCTGGAATAAAACGTTCACCCTACAAAGCCATGTTTGGAATGGATTTAAGAATGGGTTTATTCAGTTGTAGTTTACCAAGGGAACTTATTGAAGATATCAGCACTGAAGAAGAACTTTTATATGTAGCAAAAGAAATTCATATAGAACAAAGTAATTAATTGGAAATATAGAATCATATTTTTGGAATATAATAATTGCAGTTCTTCACAGTTGGGCAATTATGAAAGATATTAGTAATTTATTAAATAAAGTAACTTTTTTATGCAGCTGTATATTTTATTGAGTGGTGGAATAGAGCCGGTCTTTATAGTATTATTCAGTTTATTTACTTTTACTTGGGTATTTATTGAAAAACAAGTTTCTAATCAACAACTAAACATTTGGACTGTGCCTTTCAAGGATAATGCCTACAGCTTACCCGAATATAGAGGAGATATGAGAAAAGTATTTGCATTTGTATCCTTTTGTGGCATACGCTTTACTTTTAAAATTAAAAGAAAAATTCCGTTTGATTATTAAAATTAAATTCGTTATTTTTCCTTAATTTTGTACAGTTCTCATTCATAATGTTGGCATTTTTTGGAACAGGAAATTTATCAAGCATTAACTCCTTTGACCCCACTTGGACCCAGACCTTCGTTACCGTTTACAAACCTTACTTAATGACTACACTCATTGGTATAAAAATAACTATTCCTTTCCTGATATTAATGTGCTGTTTCTTGGCTATTGTAAAAATTACTAACGTGGAGATCAAGCACGTTTTCACACTTTTACTTCTCTTATGTGACTGCATGGTACTGCACTTCTTTTTTGCCATAAAAAACCAAGGTTCTTGGCTAGAAATTGGCATGAGTCTATCCCGTTTTATTATAGCCCTGGTGACTACTTTGACAGTTTTACTGTTCTACTTTGTATCCAAAATTCTCACTAGTCTTACAACTGAACAAGTTGTACGCTTTATTAAAAAAGGTGAATATTAAAAAATTTATTTACTGTTGAATGTGAAACAATATCTGTGTTATCACATATCACCTACATGTCTCTACTTAGTGGTTTTTCTCGATGGTTCACGTTCATTAATTTAATATTTGTTACATTGTTCATATTTCGTTAATTTATAATTTGTTATATGTGTCTTTGACCTACTGTTAACTTGATAAACAGTAACAGTATTACAATATGTGATATTACTGTTTAGATGATAAAGTATTATAATTTTGTAATGAAATAGTTTAAAAGTATGTATTTGTTGACCTATAAATGGGAAAATAAAAAATCTCTACGTTGTGAAAAAACAAAGCTGTTTTATTGTTGTTTTATCACTCCTACACCAAATTNCTTTAATATTAAGTATTTGAAAGTAATACTACAACACAACAACTAGAAAACTTTACCAAGGAGTGGAACAAATTTACGTAATTAAAGATGAATTCGTCTTTTTATCAAATCAACTGCATAACCAGTTGAAATAATTGTTAACACTCTGGATACGAAATATGATAATATTACTGCAACTGCTACAACGACAGCTACAATAAATTTAGTTATGTTTATACTCTTGTCCTCCCATGTATCATCAATGTTCAACACCAAGAAAAATTGTACAACTATCGCATAACATATTATTACAACAAGTGTTAGGCAATGACTGAGATTCATATTAGTTATCTTTATAATACTCAAAAAGCAACACATTGCTATTAAAAATGGAATAAACATTTTTAACACATATAAACAAAAAATTACATTATGGTAAGTGTTAGGAACAAACGCTGCAGCTAAAATATTATCATAAGAACCTAAAGTTGATAGGTCATCAGTTCCAAATAAGCCCAGGAATGCAAACGTAATCTATTAATGTTTAGGTAAAGTATACCATGCAAATATAATTTTTTAATTCCTTTCAAGAGATATTAGCCTTAAGATAGCATTACTGGTATTTTTTCAAAAAAAGGATACAAATGTTAATGCTCTTCTTATGTCTTCTTTAAAAAATGGAAAATTTACTGAGGCGTTATGAGCAAATGAAATGAACCAAATATTTCTCTCTTGGTTTGTAATGTGTTGTTCAGCTATCACCCAAAGCAGTAAAAAGAGGCTGTACACTACAATAAAAATTGATTCCAGTCCCTCACTTAAAAGAATATATAATGGAACAAGGGCTAAAACAATATTTATAACGCGATATATCACCGCACTGGAAGAAAATAGGGGTAGTATTACTGCAGCCACTAAAAAACAAATGTACAACATAAAACTCAATCACCACAGCTTTTAGATTGTTTCATACCTAAAACCATCCATGAGACGCTGTAATTGAATATAAAAGGTTCACCTTCAAGTTGAAATAGAAATCTAACAGTAATAACATTTAAATATGCCAGTAAAGAGATGGTAATTTGCAAAAGGGTTGACAAACGTAAAAATAGACCAAGACTAAATCCATTGTTCCTTTTTTCAGAATAATGAATTAAGCAATTAACGACGTATGAAAACATAGAAAACGAGATAAACCTAAAAAAAAAATACAAACGTTACAAAACAATGCATATAAATTAATCACATAATATCAAAGATCAATGTGTTGTAAAACTAAATAATAAAATTTACAAAATAAGATTGAATTATTTTGTAAAATTTTCAATTCAAATTAAATATAAATGATAATTGTCATAGTTTGCGTTGAAAAATTGTCTAATGTTATCAACTTACAAAAACCATAAGCTGCTTTGAGTGCGGGTTATTGGCAGTACCCGAGATAAGCACAGCAAACAGCCCAGTAAAAACCACAAAGCTGTTACAGGGCCTTGATTGGTGTGATTATAAATATACAATATGTTTCCAAAAACAGCAAAAATTAAACTATGGCGAACAAGAAATGAACGAATCTGAAATAACATTAAATAAACATTAAGGATCACAAAAAAAATATTTCCTATTACCAGTAACTGTATGGTTACAGTGCAAATAGCAATCGACTTGAGCAGTTTCTTAAAATTTAATTGTGCGAGCCAAAGGTATAAAAGCCACAAATGGCCAAGTCTATTGTATACCAAATACCAGCTCGTCATAGGGAAAAGTATATACAATGTGTAATAATATGTTAAGCCAAGAACTAAAATAAAAAAAGAAAAGCAGATCTATTAATATTTAACGAGTTTCTTAAGCTTCCAGAAATGTAGGCTCTATAAAAAATTAGTTATAAAAAAGAAAATTACAATGAGAAATACTTAAGCAGCTGCAATTTGCTACAAAATAGACAAAAGACATAGTTTTTTCTCGTAGATTGCGGTAACACCAATCACCGCTGCCGACAGCCCGAATATAAACGTTAGAAAATATCGGTAACCAAGACACCAGATAAAGCAACCATCCTACGACAGCCAATGAAGCCATTCTGGCATGTAGTAATTTAAAATAGCTGTTGTAATATTTAATTCCTTCTATTACTTTTTCAATAATATCTAATGTTGAAAGAATCTGTTGAAAAAACCGGGCATTATTGTTAAATTTTAATAAAAACGTTAAAAAATACTAACAATATCATCATATCGGTTTGTACTGAAAAAATCAGTAACAACAGAACGCCAATATGTAATTCTGGGTCGTGACATTTCAAAGTAAGGTGTGAATGTAAAAATTAGAGGTCTGGATTTTACTTTTTCTTCCTTAGTAAAAAACGTTTCAACTAGTTGCAGTGCATTAGCAGTTATGATATAAGCAGCATCTTTTCTTTTAACATTTAAATAATCCAAAGGAACAATTCCCTAAAATAAATATTTCTGCTGAACCACAAGCCATTTAATATCAAAGCTATGAGATCAGTTCCTCATTCTACATATTTTTTAAACAATTGTAACAATAAAATAAACGTACCACTGAATGAATAGGGAAATTTATCCCAAGTAAAGCAGAGATAAGAGGAGCAATACTTGTTGAATTTATATCCCTGCGATGTGCTGATTTCGTAATTCCCGCACCCCATGCAATTATAGGTATTTCTGTTTTGCTTGTAGATCCAGGAGCTCCTAAGCCCCAAGTAGTCAGTTTCAAATTTGATGTTAAAATATATGCCGTTTTTTCATCTTTGTAGTACTTTTTCAGAAATATTTCAAACGCTTTTAATTCTTTGTCTATCAGCGGCATATTAAATGTTGCTCTCCTGAAATGTAAATAGTTATGTTATGAAAAATAAAATGTTAACAACAAAAAGCATTAAATAACTTTTAATAATAAAAAAAAATTTTATACGATAAAATAATTACTTATTTTTGGCTGTTAAATGCAACAGTATTATCATTCCATTTGTAGAACGTGTAGAAGCACTTTTATTCAAATATTGCTGTGCCTTCTTGAATGCCCATTGCTGTGTTCCAATTGCATTCTTTTCTTCGAAAATAACTTCATCATGGGGGTAAAACTTGACATGGATAAAATAGTCTTAAGAAAAAGTAGTGTTAGATACTGAAAAACTTAATAGTTTTGACAACGGCTCTAAATCATTCACAAANATAGTTACTTACATATATTAAGTGAATCAATAAATTCAGAAGTTCCAAAAATTATAGATTTTTTACTCTGACTTAATACTGTATCAAACTTTAGTGCTTCTCCTTTCCAAATTTTTAAAATTTCAATAGGATTCACATACATTCCACTTAGTAAAGAAACATGTCCTGGTTTTGATTCTGTAGGCGCTTGAGTATGAGCTACTCCCCAGCTAGCCCTATTTTTTGTTACTGAACTGTAATAAACAAATTGTTTATTGTATAAGGTTTTATCATTTAGTCCTATAAATACACTTACTAAAGATATGGTGTAGCAGAAGACATATTCATGGTGTACAATGATGAAGTTTGTAGGTCATCAACAAGAATGAATACCAATCTTTTTGCAGGAGGATCGTCTATTTTCGCTTTATAATGTTTCATACCGTCTTCAGAAGGAATTGTTAAGTAAATATCAACTACAGTGAGGAACACTAAGATGTGTACCACTACAGTTAGGAGAAGAAGCGGTGTATGCTTTGCCCCTATAAGTAGTGTATTTTCAACTGTTAAAATGTGTTATGTTGAAAGTTTTTATAACTTAAACTAGCCTAAGATTAGTTATCTGTAGTTATTTTGTTTAGGATTATCACATTAATTATGAAAATTATCTCCAAAACATATACCAATTTTTGAAAAACTTTGGGGTTAGAATTTTGAATGCAACGGTTCATTTTATATTTTTAGGTAGTGTTTCGTTATTGTAATATCGGAACGTTTATTTTTAAAAAAATACATTAAAATTAACTATTACACACAACAATAATTAGTAAAACAATGTCAATTATAAGTTTATATCTTATAACATTTAATATTCATTACTTAACGTTTACTTACTCGTTCTTCGATTTAATTCCATTCTTTAGGTGTTTAATACACCTAATACTCTTTAACTATTTAATAACTACTTGTCTTTAAGAAACCAAAACAGAAAATACACTTAGAATACACTTGTTCAATTAAAACAAATTTGCATACAAATTTGAAATAGCGAAAATAACAACGTCCTCTATAGAGACAATGGGTAACTGATGGGTAATAGATAGATAATAGAATAATCTGTGGATGTAGAGATAACTACTGCCATGTCGATGGTATTGCTAGCCATTACGCTTATGTATTACGCCATAGATAAGACGCCAGCTGTGCAGCTGTCGGCTTTTGACAAACAATCAAATAAAAATTTAAAGTCGGTATTAAACAATAATCTATCTATATTTTTTAATAAAATGGGTATGTTTTAACATATATAAATATAGATAACTCATTTACTTATAAGTCTTTTTCAGCATTTTCGACGGAGTATTCCTTAATTTTTGCATTAATGTTATCACTTTTAACATTTTCTGGAATGCAAATTTTTAAACCCTGGTTTGCTGTTTCCCAGTTAAATGTAATTTTTGGGGGTTACTTAGGATCGCTTTTATTTACATTTCTTTTAACTGTAGTTGGTAATTTTGAAAATTTAGTGTATGGAAAATCATATCAAATGAAAATTGTTCCAGAGGGTAATTTAACTTTATGGTGCTGTTAATTTTTCATTAATATGTGGTTTTTTTAGTTGCTTTGTGTCTAATACTTACTTTCATAGCAAGTGCTTCTATTCATCGTGTATGTGCAACAACAAGGTACTTTTACTTATATTTATATATTTTTTTTAAGAATTTCTTATCCTTATTTCTTTGTAGCATATTATTTTCTCTAGTGTATTTGTACTTCATCAATAGACATTCTCAAAGAATATATGCTGCTCCAACTGTGACTGTTACAGCTCAAAGTGGTAAAAAGAAAAAATGATTAAAACTTCATCATTAGATAGATGTTTTGCTTCAGCATTTTAATTTTCAGTTTGTCATGTATCATAATGATATACCACTTAAACGAAATTAAAAGTTGATAAACAATAATAATAATAATTTTTTATCAGTACTTGAGTTTTATTCGTATAGAAAATTAAAACACTAAACTGTAAAAAGATTCCTTTATTTAAATTCTATATTTTTATTACTGAAAAAGAATTTTACACAAGTTTACAACTACACATGCAGTTTTATCAATAGAAATATTAAATTTCTATACAGTTTCTGCCATATTAAAGGGCACAAAGTACAAATTAACAAATTATTAAAAAAGATAGTCATATGTAAAAGTTTAATAAAACTTTGATGTACAATTTAGAAAATTAAACGAATTGTAGAAAATAAGTGTGAACTTACATTAACTATACTTTTAAAAATTATACAAAGAAAAGAAATTATAATAAAACATATGTTCACCAATTGCAGGACCACCATGCACTGTGCAAAAGTTGTATGTCCAACGGAATCATTCTCATGCAATTCCGACAATTAAAAAAAAACATAATTTTCTTGCTGGCAGCTGTGATTTGTTTAGAAGGCCAATATGTACATTTTTAAATGAAACTTCCATAATAAAATTGACAAACAAAAATCACTTTCACATCTAGCTCGTCAATAGCGCTACATTTATTTCTTTGACCATTTTCACTCGATGTAACATTTTTTCCAAAGCATTTTTTGGCAATGGCATAGTTGAATACCACACTGGACTATCGGGTACACAAGAACGTTCAGGCATTAAGTAGAAAACGTCATTTCGAGTTTTCACACTCTCCGGACTGTAAATTCCACAAATTAATCACGTTTCGAAAATTTATTATTTACTTACCATTTCGTGAGGTAAAATTCGTATAGTTTTACCGGACACCGTAAAGGATTTTCTTCGTTTTCTTGTTGTTCATAAACTTTTTTCTTTCTAGCATTACCTTCTAAAACATTCCAAGTAAACTAATCTATCCATAAATAAAAAACAAATATTACTAAAAATACCTAAGGCGCTTTGTGGCGGATAAAACCTTAACAACACGTTCCTAGTGCCAGTTTTGTTGCCACCAGGCTGATTGGGATTTCGCTTCCAATGTTTCATTATATGGGAAAATGATAGCTGCATATGTTCATCAACCGTCTAAAAAAATTAAAAAATTATTGTTTATTCAATATACCCGAAACTTCCACTTACTGTTAAGTTAAAATGTTTTGTATTAAAAAATACCAATGTACTTAAAAGTACATGTGGAGAATGAGCCCCAAGTTGCTTGCTTTCCCATAAATGCTCTTCTTCGACACGAGTTACTATATAGTCTGAAAGTAAAATTTACTGTTAAGAAAACGGTTTTATTTTAAACAAATATAACTTACGAGAATCATTGTAAAGAACCGAGAATTTTCTAGCAACTTCATCCAAACAATCAGTAAATTTCTCATAATAGGGGTCACAGAAGATGTTATCAATTCGGCCATTTTCAAATAAGTATTGCTGAATACCCAAACACAAATAATAAATCGTATCGGGGGCGTATTCCTGTCCGTTTGGTTTTCGAACTTCTTTAACAAAAAGACATAACGAATAATTTAACTCATCTGCTGTAAGTTGAAGAATTTCAGGTTTGAAAAGTATCACGCGCTTCGAAGACTTTTCTAACTCTGCGTTTTTGGTTGTCACCCATTGTTTCCAAGCATTTACCCCAAATGTATACTAAAGCAAAATATTGTTATCAGTTCAAATAAGTTAATAAAATAATAATAATAATAAATAATTAACCTTTAGACACATGTTGGCATCAGGCTTTTCCACCGGTTCAGGGGGAGCAGGTGGTTGAGGCGGTTCCAACATTTGCATTTCCTGCTGGTGATGTGTCGAACGACGCCCTCTTTTGCTTGGGTAAGCTCGACTGGATCCTCGCATTCCTCTTTTTCTACCTCTCATAGACTGCCTTTCCATCATGCTATGCATTGGCTGAGGATCGTCAACTGATTCGTCATTTCCTACAAATTAAAAACTCATTTTTAAAGCAAATAGTTCTTTATTTTAGCCTTTAAAATACCTGTACCGTCAGTAGTTTGCGAGGCGGTAATGGTATTAGCTGTTAGAGCCCCCTCTAAATCGACAGCCGGCTCATCTAACTCTGTGGCCATTTTTAATGCCATCTGCAATACGTCCTCCCCAAAGGCATTTGATGTATCCACAGGTTCGGGGCTAAAGCTATCTTCTGGGCCACCTTTAACATTATTTATTATTACTTATACTGAAGAATATCTTTGAAAAATTAATTTACCAGCAGCGTCGTCATCTTCACCACTGTCAGAATCTGTGTTTTCTTCTTTTTTATCAGCAGCTACCATTTCAGCCATCATTAACAATTCAGCTTCAAATGGATCAGTGGGAATTTTAACTTGTATTTTCTACAAAATAGTTTCTATATTTATCAGAAACAAGCAAGTAATAAATACACGTTCTTTACCTTTATTTCTTTCATAATTCCATTAGCAGAATTTCTGGTCGTAGGAATAAAAATGGGAACTGGAACGGGTAAAGGAAATGGTATTGGCACCGGATATGGCATAGAATACATTGCCATAGGGCACGGAACGTATATAGGTACTGGTATAGGAATTAAAATCTTTTTGTCTTCCAATTTAGCTGTAAGAAGAAATTATAAGTAACATTATATTCAATTATTAAAAACGCTGTAATATTACTTGTTTGTGTTTCCTTGTTTGTCACACAAGGCTTACAGCTTGTGCCTTTATTTGTTGAAATAACTTTGCACATGGTAGCTATGTTCCTTTGCATCGGAAGAGGACGAGGTTTAACAATTATCTGCTGTTTAATTTGCGTTTTGATTTGTGTAGATGCTTGGGAATTAGCCGGAGAACTGTTATTTGATGTGGCAGTCGACAGTGCATTACTTTTTGATCTGGAAGATCTTGTTGATACAGTAGAAGGACCATTGGTTGATGCTAAAGATTGTACACTGGTTATAACTGGAATTGTTGGGACATCGGCTGGTACTACTGTTAAAAAAATAAGTTTTTATTAAACATTATTAATTAAATATCTTAACTAAAAACGAGAGACTTACATGGATCTGAAGCGGCTTTTGCAGTGGCTCTCCTTGTTCTTTTAGGAGCACCAGTAGGTACAGGTACATCTTCACTAACTTCATTAAGTGTAATTGGTGCCTTAGAAAACTGATTTTGAAATGCCATAACGCAAGAATAAGAACAGAAATTTCTTATAGTTGCATCTGACATTGTTAAGTGGTACAAGGGATGTAGAAACTTTAAGCAGTGATCACATTTAATTCTAAAAAAAATTAATCATTTAATAATACTTAAAAGAACATTAGTCTTTAAAACTTACTTTCTCGAGTTTACAGCATTAACTGAAACCTGGTACAAGTTAAGACAATTTAGTGAACACATCATTAACACCTGTCCATTTGGAACAGCTTTCTTTATCATGTCAAAATTGTATTTTTTCACTTTGCACCAACTGCAAGGTACAATTTTTCTGTGAGAAATAATATAAATATTTTGGCAACTTTTTGAACAAAAACTGTGTTGTGCTCCATCATAAAATATACAATTCTCTTCTAGAATTTTATTATCGACGTAATTTTTACACATATCACATTTACCTGTAAGAAACAGAAACTGTTTAGTCTTACTGTAGCCTGTATTATATTACAATGTTTCTTAACTTACCTGGTGTTATATTATTAACAAATTTAAAGGCAACAAAACATGGCTCTGAGCAGAATAAATTTAATTTGTTATCATGATTAAACTCTATTGTGATTGGTTTTTCATTCAAACAAACGGAGCATAATAATCCAGTTTTAGCACTTAATTTTTTGTTATTACTCATAACATCATATTTATCCATACAGTTTTGTGAGCAAAAATCTTTGAACTGTCCTTTATCACCAACAGGTGCCAGGAAGCCATCCCCAGCACCTGACATATCTTTCTGACAATAAGAACAGACTTTTAGCCCTTTTTTGTACTCTTCTAAACATGAACTGCTACAAAATTGTCTTATATCATATCCAAATCGAACACAGTATTTCCCCAAGCAATTGGATCTAACTTCTGATTGGCAACTTGCACAGTTTGAACCTATTTTCTTTTGGTGTTTTGCTAAAGAATATATAAATTAAGAATTTTTCCTAATTTTACAGAAAAATAATTACTGTATTTACCTAAACAAAATTCATTACAAAAGTCCATAGTTTCCCAAGACAAATTATTCTCTTGATTTGTAACTTTTTTGTTACACTCGGAGCACTTTCTAATAAAATTTACTTTTGCTATCATGTTATCATTGCTAACACCATCAGATAGATTTTTAACTCTTAAATCTCCTTCCAAACAAATATTTTTTTCATTGTTTTCCGATTTAAAAATTGATAGGCAATTGTCATCACACACATAAGATGTATTTGTATTTAATGTGACAGTATATTTAGATTTTCTAGGCTAAAAATTATTCTAATATTACTTTTACAAATTGAAAGAACATATTTCTTACCAAACAACACTGAACACATGTATGAACATTTTCATCAGTGTTCGTTGCTACTATATATTTTTCCTTAGATGCTCCAGCACCATCAAGCTGTCCAGAATCATTCGAGCCACTTTCTGCACTTATTACTTCTGCTGGATCTCTCAAAGGTATCATAGCTGCTGCAGCTTCTTTTTCTTCTTGTGATATGATACGTTCAGTGTCTGGAATAATGCATAATTCTTCATCAGCCCCTTGTTGTTCTGCTTCATCAATATTATTAGAATCTTCGTCAATTTGTCCATCAGAACCATCTGATGCTATTGGATCTTCTTGAGGCTCATCGTCATCGCCTATAATTTTTTTTCATAATTAGAGAAAAATTAGTAACTGTGTAAAAATTATTAATGTAATTCATACACTAACCTGCCATATCTTGACCACCTGCTGATTTGTCTTCCTTTTCATTTTCAGTACTGACATGTACAAATACTGTCTTTTCTGTATTGTCTCTTTCATCATTTTCAAAATCAACTCCCGCTTTATCTTGAGTTTCACTGTTTTGCTCTGCATCACTAGACTTTTCATGAAGGTTATTTTCTTCAGAAGAATTTGTTTCAGCATCTTTATTTGTTTTACTCTGTTTGCTATTAACATTATCATCTTCTTCATCTTCATCTTCCTGGACACTTTCCCCATTTTTTGTAGATGTCTCTGTTGAAATTTCAGCATCCTCATTAGTCCTTTCTTTTTCAAAAGAATCCACAGTCTCTTGCAATTTACAAGATTTTTCTTCAATTGCAGTTGATGTTAAGTTTTCACTATTTTCGTTACTGGTTTCTGATATACTTTCATTTGTTTCAAAACTCTGACTTTCAAACTCTTGTTCTGCTATTATATCATCTGCATCTTTTTTACTACTTTCAACACTACCACTACTTTCAGAGGCAGTATTATCAATCTTCTTAATTTGAGAACATTGTTCTTTTATATTCTCCTCATTGCTTTTTATTGATGTAGGTTTATCAGTTTGTGAAGTAGTTTCAACCTCCATGGAAGTGTCTTCTGTTGAGTATTCCTTAGCTGGACTGGAAATTGGTAGATCAATGTCCATTTCTGACTGGACATTTTGCACACATTCTGATGCTACGTTCTGCTTATCTACACTTTCTGATGCTACATTCTGCTTATCTACACTTTCTTCAACATTATTTAACAAAGCTGCTTCACTAGCTTCTAAATTTTGCAACACTGAATCTACGATATCACTAGTATTAACATTAATGTCTGCATCATTACATAAAGTTTTCAAGGATTCACTTTTGGGAACATCAATATCACTCATATTAACTATAATACTCTCTGAATCATTATTAATGTTATTTTGTACTATTTCACTAAACTGGTCATTAACTCCAGAACCATCTGAAGATTTCTTCTCAGAAAACCCAGATTCAATTTGCTCAGTATTATCCAGTGACTCCATTGAACTAAAATGTTCAACATTAACAAAGGCAACACTTCTTTCAGATATATATTCAAACCTGCAGATATTATTTCTAGGATTATAAAAGTTGTTTCTTCATCATACACACCAGCTAAAACAAAGGTGTAAAAATTCTATTATTTATCTACTCAAAAATGAATATATTATACTACAAAACCTGTGGCTATTACATTTATTTATAAAAATCAACTAGTAACAATTGACATTATTATTAATAAGCCATGCTTTAGTATCACTATTTTGAATTAATAAACATGCCCTTGCTAAGTTATACTCCCGCGCTTATGTACAAAGACCACGTTAAACAACAAACTATTTACACTGCATGCTAACTTCATTATTTAAATATTACTAGGTAATTTCGGAAACATATTAACTTTTAAACAGATACTGCATCAAACAAATTTAAAATGCTCAGTTTTTTGATCAGGGCCGGCGTTTATGGGAACGTTTGATTGTTTTATGTCACTCGTTTTGAATGTAAATAACACACAGGCTTTCATAAGAACGAATTATTCCTACACATAGCAATTAAATTAAAAAAACATTTTAGTATTATTTCACCTCTAATAGTTAACAAATAAATTTGAGAAACGTAAAATTGTTTCAACGTCACAAACACCTTAACTACCGCGACGTACGCCACAAGCTACATAATGGAGGATTCGACTTTAATACGCAGAATCGTTATTTGCTATTAGGAATACATTTGGCGGTAATAACAAAATATAAAAAATTAGTTTCTTAGTAGTAATCAAATTAATTTCATTGAAATAAGGACATCAAAAACGTTTAATAATGTAACATTAAATAGTATTAAACAGCGTTTGTTTATAATTAAGAACAATATTTTATTTATGACTGTAATAAAATAATAAGTAAAAATTAGTCTTACCATTAGAATAAAAAGTTATCGTTTTTATTTCTTTACTATTTTTTGAAAGAACAATTAACTATACAGCAAAGTAGACTAATTTAAGATAATTAAAAATTACTTGTATAGATACTCTATGGTACCCTTCACTAATCGTAAATACTCTATGCGAAAGAAAAAATTGAAAAAGCGTGGGAAAAAGCATGTTTAAAGAAAATAGGGCGATATCATATTCTATTAAGGGTTAGATGAACTTTATCAACTTTTATTGAAAACATGTCTAAATCACAATCTACTTTTGCTGTATATAAACGAATACACGAATAAAATCAACATTTTCCCCTTATGCTTTCAGCTAACATGATTGGGGAAATACCAAATATATCGGCATTTTATAGTAAGGGCGTAAATATGAATTCTTAAGGTCAATGGACATTCGTTTCTATAAGTGAAGGTTTAGTTTGCTCTCGGTGTATAGTGGCATAAGATTCACATTATGAGGGGTTTCCATTAGGTAATGTTCACACTATGGAATTTTTACTGTAGTTATTACGATAATTTGTAACAGCAATAAAAATAAGTCAATATTAAAGTACGACGTTTATTTGTCAAGTTTACATACAACAAATACGTCTACAAAAAATGTTTACATAATTGATATATAACAATTTTTGAAAATAGTATTGGTGACTTTATAATCCCTGAATATCAGCTATTTATCGAAATACGAAAATGTAGAAAATCAGTCTTATTTTTAACTTACTCCACACAATAATAGTCTTCTGTCAACAGTTCCAACATATCATGTTGAAATTTTTGTTAGTTATTAAATATGAAATATAAACCGCACATAATAAAAATGAACATATATTTTTAAATTAAAATGAACAGTTTCGTGTATCAATTTAATTAAAAAGACATTTTAATAATTAATCTTGTCGAACGTTTTTAAAAAAATCGGAATGAAGTACTGGAATGTTATGAAAGAAGACTTAAGTTTGAAAATCGACATTTTTTTAATACATATAATTTTCAGCATCCTCATTAGTCCTTTCTTTTTCAAAAGAATCCACAGTCTCTTGCAATTTACAAGATTTTTCTTCAATTGCAGTTGATGTTAAGTTTTCACTATTTTCGTTACTGGTTTCTGATATACTTTCATTTGTTTCAAAACTCTGACTTTCAAACTCTTGTTCTGCTATTATATCATCTGCATCTTTTTTACTACTTTCAACACTACCACNTATAAACACATATTTCTACTACTATAACATTCGAACTAAAAAAAATGTATTACTGAAATTCATATATGCTCAAAAATCATGAAAATTGAAACAAACTGTTCAGCCTGAAAAAACTCTTGTGCAATTGTTCCAATCATTCACATCTCTCTTAAAAAAAAACATTGAAATCGCAAAATAGTTAACAAATGAAAATAAATAAGCACAATGTATAAAATAGAGAAACAAAATAAAGACGCTAAAATAACATAAGATTACTTTAAGATCCATATAAAGAAGCAACTGCTTGCATATTGGCATTAATTGTGGTAAGAGTTTGGAAAATTATACGAAAGCTGGGCCTGTCAGAAGGCTTTTGTTGCCAACACTGTTTCATAAGTTCATAAACAGGAACTGGGGTATTTTCTGGGCTTGATAACACATTTCCTGCTTTTAAGAAACGGACAACCTCTTCATGCGTCATCCCATAGTATGGTTGTAGGGCAAACGAAAATATTTCCCACAAACATACACCAAACGCCCAAACATCAGATTCTGGTGTGTATTTATTATAAAGTATACTCTCTAAAGGCATCCACCTCACCGGGATAGCGTCATGTTCATCACCTTTATAATAATCCTAAATTCATTTTCAATTAGATTTTCAATTTAATCAAAATTTATTATAATTAAAAGTTACATTTAGGGCAATAGAGCTCCAACAAGATGGTTCGATTTTCGCCTAAATTTAATTTTAAATTGAAAAAAATATTGAATTACCTGTAAATAAATTTTCTGAGAAAGACCAAAGTCAGCAATCTTGACAACCATGTTCTCGCTTATTAAGCAATTCCTTGTGGCTAAATCGCGATGAACAAACTTTCTGTCTGATAAATATACCATTCCAGATGCAATTTGAAGTGATATATCAAGTAATTCTAAATGGCTTAATCTATTATCTCTATACACATCCTGACTTTCATCTACTAGGTTTTTTATAATGTAATTGCTTGGAGAACAATGTCTAAAAATAACAATTATAAATTCAGAATTTTGTTTTTAAGTAAAAAAAAGTTGCACTACCTTAAGAATTCATTTAGGTCCCCTTTACCCATATATTCAAAGAGTAGACACATTGGTTTACCAATAGCACATACTCCCAACAGCTTTACTATATTAGGATGATCAAATTCAGCTAACAGACTTGCCTCTTTTTCAAAATCATCTTGTAAGTCTTCAGATGCTTCATCTTTCAACATTTTTACAGCTACTATTGTAAATTCTTCTCCGGGAACAAGATCTGGAGCTTTAGCTTGAAATACTTGTCCAAAAGCTCCTTGCCCTAGATCTCTCAAAAAAATTATGTTATTTCTAGGATACTCTAATCTTTCCAATTTGGGATTTAAAGCTGCTCCTGTTCTGCATTTTAAAAAATATGTATTTAAACTGTAAACTTTGTTACATTATTACAAACCTGTGATAGTCAATATTGCTTGGCAGTTTATCTAAATCTATATTTACTTCATTCATTTCAGTAGCAGTTGGATTGTAACCATGTTTATGTTTGTAGAAACGGTGAGCAGCAAAAATCAGCAATAAAATAAGTAGTACCACAAAAAGTCCAATACCAGACACCAATAGAACAAATGTTGGTGTAAAATACTTATCCATAGCTAGACCATCTTTCATATTTTCTTTAGTAATAGTAGAGTTAGCACATACTGGTATATCACAATGCTGCCATCTTACACTTGAATTGGTTGTAAAACACCATGGTGCATGCTCTTCTCCACCTGCATTACGACAATAGTTTTCAGAATTTTTCATCTCTGAAAAAACATCAGGTGGGCGTGTATGAGTATGAGGGAACTGTGAGTCCCAACGTTGGCAATCTAAACCATATTTTGTTTTATTCATTTTTCCTTGATAAAAACGACCTCTTCCAATTATACAATCATCTAAAAGAATCCTCTTCAATGAAACTGAACCTCATGACTGAGTCTTTACTTACATGTTACTTCATCTAGTTTCATTTCTGTAAGACCAGCATATGAACAAGTACGAGTACTGTTCTCAGTTTTATAACTTGGCAATTTATCACAATCTGGTAGTTCAAAATGCCCTCGTGATGTCAAATATATTCCTTTTGCTTTTTTATCTTCTATAAGGGCCCAATCATTATAACAAAACTGTCCCCTTACTGCTATACAGTCTTCTTTACATAATGGCAAGCCATATGCTTTATTATTTTGCATAGAGCATTCAGGAAAAGCATATAAACATAGCAGTTTCTAAAATTTAAAGAACAACTATTAATTTCAACCAATTGAAAAATGGTTAATGTTACCTCAGCTGCACTACGACAAGGTTCCTTCAAACTTGTTATCAGTTCATTCCATAATCCCATCGTTATCTTTTCATTAAGCCATCCTCCTGTAGTATTTTTGGTCATTTTGAACCAAAAGAGTCCAGTACTGTTAAGATAACCACTACAAACTCTACCGTGATAAGGAGCACAATATCCGTCTTCTTCTGCATGATTCAATTTAAAAACGCACAGAAAATGAATCAAGAGGTAATAAAATATAAACATTTTCTTTTTTCTTGTAAAAGTATAGGCTTCATATAGGTTAATGTAAACAACTGATAATATTTCTACTTCATTATTTTAACTGGATGTAATACATTTAGAAGTCCTTTACAATATTCGCTTTTATAACATCATTTTCTGAAATTATTTTTAAATTACACTCGGTTTATTTAACTTTTGAATATAATTTGATTTACTTTATTCTGAAAATGTCAACTATGTATAACCATAGAATGTGTACCTACTGATATCTACTGTCAGTGTTGTGTCGCGGTTTACGGTTACACGTAATGGTAATGGTTACATTATCGAAACAAAAAGCAATAAAAAAAATATTTTATTTTTTTAAATAAGCTATTAAAAATTATGAAAAAAATATATTTGTATGCCCAGTAATAATCCCTTTTAAATGATAACCAACATGACACATGAGTGAACCTACAAAAAAAATATTTAATTGTATTGCACATATAAATATGTAACGATCTCCTTAACAGTCCGAATTTAAAGGAGAATCTTAAAAAGTATAATTTGTTCTTCAACCTAACCAAACCTTTAAATATATTTATATTAGAACGTTATGTAGTTTTAAGTAAAACAAAAAATAATCATTACAAAACAACTTTAATCCTAAATAGTTA